TTCACCTCGGGGAATGAAAAATTACGCAAACTCTCTGTATCTACGGAAAAATTTGTAGAATTCTTAATTAACGTCTCGATATCGTAAAATTAAAATCGTCCACTTTATACCTTATATGTGATTATATATATGTATGTATATGCACGTGGCATATACATATATGTGTACGCGTCCGTCTGCCTGTGTAACGTTTACGTGTGTCTGTACGCGTGTATGTATGTATATAGATATATGTATCTCTTCGTAACAACAGATTTAATAATTTTATCCTTAGCATTTCGTTATTTAACAAGTATCATCTCGTAAAACGATATAGAGGTACGTATTGCTCTGTAACAAAAGAAAGAAAAAACACACTCGTCGTTATCTCACGGAGAATTGGTAACAAGTTTTTTTTTTTTGTTTTTTTGTTTTTTTTTTTTTTGGTTAATTCGTAGTCACTAAGGCAGACAATGAAAAGGATTTAATTCGCGTGAACTCGGCTTCGATCGGTTTCTCCTCTCTCTATTTATTTTTTTCTTGCCGCGAAGTTTCGGCGCGAACTTTGAAAAAACCCGACGCTGTATCGTTAGTTGATTAATTAATTAATTATCGTCCGTCCGGTGTACACGATTACACATTTAAATAGGTGCTTAACGTTTTAATAGTTCTAAATATCCCAAGTATAATATCCTCTCAGGCACCTGTGATTATTTACAATACAACAACAACTGGATAATTGAACTGAAATTTCAGTTCTAAGGAAATTATTTATCTCTCACGGTAAAATTACGCAAAAATTTCTTTGCTAGTTTTGTTACTAGATTTAACGAGAATCTGATTTTTTTTTCATCGAACGGAGTAGTAATTTTAATCGATAATCGAGGGAAAATGTAAAAGTTACTGTTTTCGTGTCTAAGAAATTTTGAGGTTATTAATTCTCACGTCAGACGAAAAACAGTATTCCACGTGTGAAATAGTGATGTAATTTTGACGAAAATTAATTAATGGATCATTTCAGAGGACAAGGTCTATTTCTAGGAGTGATTCCTTGCAATCAAGAGGATATACTATACTCAGCCACTTATTGTGCCTATCAGTTAATGAAATAAGTTAATCGATTGTTCGAGTCGAAACTGTAATCTATCATTTGCGCGTGGACAAGAGAAACTCGGTTGAAATTTTCGGAAATCAGATCGTGACAGCTTTATAGGTTAAGGAGCAGACGCAAACTTCTTCGTAACGTGAAAATATTATCGTCGAACCCTTAGAAATAATTCAGGTAATTGCACTTTTCATGCTGTTCCATGGTATCTTTTAAATCCACGTGCAAACCTCTTTGTAAAAATGAAATTTACGTTATTTCGAAATATCTCTCTGATATACCGGGCGTTCCAGAATTTTTTTTACCAAACTTTCTTAATACGTTCCTCAACACGTTAAGCGCCAAGCCTGTTTTGTCTTCCTTTCCGTTTAGCCCGCGATATCCGACTTCACCGATACGCTGGCGGCCTGAGATGTGTGTAAGGTTGCGATAAGACTGCATGTGTTTTAATAATACTCGTTAAAATTTTTTTTTGGTAACAAGTAATATTTAGGTACATTCTGTTACGATATCTAAATTATATAAAATTTATTAATAGAAGAATATAATTGTTTTAAATT